GGGGGGAAGAGACAGGGAAAATATGCAGAAGCCAAGAGTTGGCAGAAAGTGGAGAGAGGGAAAGAGATGGGGAAAATATGCTGGTGTCAAGCTCAACTTCATTAATCTTTCTTGCAAGGGATACAAAGTAGACTTCAGTACAGCTGGTATTTTAAAACAAACGTTAAACCTAAAAATAACTTCGACAGTAAGATTCGTACAGCATTTTTGGAGTTTCATTAATCCTCTAAAATGTAATAGGTCATTTTAAAAGAATTCCATTTAGTCATTTTCTATTGAGGTTTGTCCGTGTTAAAAAAAATCATCAAAGAGTAACGTAAGGAGGTAAAATTCGTTTAATATTTGGCCAGTTGTGAAAAACAGAATAAGACTTACCAGCCACATAAGATCTTTTGGTCAAACGTTTGACCAGTTAGCTGTGGCCTCAGGTTTTGAACTTCGTAACTTGCACGTTCAAACAAAATATTAGCCAGTTATTCAAGTAATTTCACCTTCGCTCCTTGAATATCTATTGATATCTGTGGCTATCTAGAAATATGTAAACGTCCCATGCCCACTGTAAAGAAGGCAATTCACACGAAAACACTTTCCAGTCTTTCACAAATGGTACAACGCAATTTTCCTACACAAGCAACCTCAGCACAATAAAATCACAATCAGACGTTAAGATTCCACTGCTAACATGCTTCACACTAAATGAATGGGCGTCGAATATTCTTTGGGATGATGTATATTTTGCGTATTAAAACCATACCCTTATTAATATGAAGAGTACACTGTACAGATGTCAATGGTGAAAATCATTCACACGTGTTTTTTACCAGGCGTATTAATGACTGCGAATTTATTGCAAAGATTGAAAACGTCTGAAAGTTTGCTGCGCTGTGATTCCACTTTTAGCTGACCTAACAGTCTTCTAGATTGTGCACTACCAAGTTCCTTATGTCCTTGAATGGTCTCATACACAGACATTCACAGATATGATACCTGTATGCCAACATTAACAGATAGTTAGAAAATATCCAAACCTACATTTTCACATGAGAAATATAAATCGGGTTTTGTTTTTAAAGGTTTGTGTATCAACAAAAGTGTATGATTAACCCCAGATAATTATCATGTTCCACAGACTTTTCGTTATGAATTAATACTTCTTAGATATTTTTTAACTGTAACCCTTGCCTTATCGAGAAAGTGAATCAGATGACGTAATCAAAACCCTTTAATGTAACACGTTTTTCACATGTTTCTATAGAAATAACTTCGTAGTATTATAAGACAATTTTCGATAGCAAGTAACTACACATAACACACATTCCTTTAGTCTGTTGACTTACACTGTAAAAGCTGATCCACTACATATATGTTTTGCCTTCCCTTGAAAATATTTCTGGGGCGCTCATGCTAAAGTAAGTGTAATCAGTACAGTCCAATCATATAAGTATTAGTTAAATATATAATAACAATTATAACAAGTCCAATGGAAATATAATTAGGGGGGAGAGAATACCAGAGTTCATCGTTTGCAAAAATATTTTCGATTCTCACGACAAACTGAAATATTGTTTTCAAATATTTCATTGGGCAGCACACTTGATACTAAATACCTTGTGTGCTAATCATAAACTTATCATAAATAACTTATTAAAATATTCATCACCTAATGTTCCTTATCTGTGGTAATAGTGTTGGCAAACAATTATAAATGCACAATGTGTACAAAGAAGTAAGAGAAAAATCTCTTAAAGTCTCTTTCCATGATGGTTCTGATGGAGTATTGGAGCGTGTGACGTGTCATCAGACAGTCTCCATGGTAAGCAGTGAACCAAGAAACTAGTGACGAATAAAGAACAATAGCAACCCTATTGTCTACCCATCTGTGTTCCCAAGCTGTTCCTGCTTTTGACAGTCGTGCTCTTCTGTTCAAAACGTTTCCTTTGACAGACGATCTATCAACTTGCCACTCGTCTTTAATGCACACAGTCCTTGGTCACGTGAATTCGAGATAATGCTCAAAACTCACGTAAACTGTTCACTCAAGAAACCCTCTTATTTGTTTCAGTAAGTCGTTGAGAACTAGAATAAAAGATGCTTTTGAGGTAAGTACTGTCTAGTTTTTGTCTATTGTTCTTTTGTTTTGAAGCACATTAAAACCTTGTCTCCTAATACGTGAGAAACGCAAGTCATAGGAAACGAAAGACAATGAATGTGTGTTAATAATTTTGTCTCACGAACCAATTTGACCATAAGGACGAAAAGAATAAGTACAAAATGAAAACTAAAGAAACTATATATTTTTAAACTGTTTAGGACATTATGTTGAATTTTTATTCCATTTAGAAATTTAAATGCAAGTAGTATGATATATTTAACTTAATGTTTCTTTCTGGTTAAATATTTGCTATCAAAGAATAAAAATAATAGAAGTGTAACAAATTATGTGAAAAACCTTTACAGCTAATTTTCGAAAGTTTAACAAAGCTCCACACTGAAACTAAGCATTTGATACAGACACATTTTTCTAATTTTGCAGAACATTTTTACGATGTAGAATCTAATCTCTTAAGCCTTCGCAACTTGTGTTGAACAGTGTGCTGCAGAATGTTCTCAACTCAACAACTAAAGTTATTAACACTGTTCTTACCACTGCGAATTGGAAAAAAAGTTGCGTACTTCGTTTGCTTTAAATTTATGAAGAACAAATAATGTCCCTTTGTGATGAAAAGTCATTTCAGAACAGCGCTGGAGCACATGCAGAACATGAATAGGAACAGCACATTCCAAAAGGCTATTGTTACTTTACTGTAGTGTTAATCTGCATACCTTTTTTAAGGGAAGTTGAAAACTAGAACAAATCTTTACTGTAGTATTGATCTGTATACTTTTTGAGGGAAGTAGAAAACTAGAACAAATCTTTACAGTAGTATTGATCTGTATACTTTTTGGGGGAAGTTGAATGCTAGAACAAATCTTTACTGTAGTGTTGATCTGCACACTTTTAAAGGGAAGTTGAATACTATAACAAATCTTTCCTGTAGTGTTGATCTGCATACTTTTTAAGGGAAGTTGAATACTCTTTCTTCTTTCAAAAACGCATTGTTAGTAATTAATAAATAAATGTGTATGTATATATATACATATTATATATATACATATATTGTAAGGTAGTGAATTATATTTTTATTTTGTTATGTTTTGTTTAACGCTCAATTATTATCCCTTCTATTGTTTAGTTTAACCATGTGATTATAGTTACATTAAACAAGCATAAGAACTTCAAAATGACAGAATGATTAGTTGGTCGGAAAATTTATTATATTGTATTTCTAAATATGTAATGTTGTAAAATATTGAGCTTTGTCAAACAATTCACAGGGGCTCAACGGCAGGTTTCAGGGCTTAAAACACAATGCAGTTAGCCCATAGTGTAGTTTTGAGTTAAAAACAAAACAAACTGTTGAATAAAAGATGTTTGAGGATTTCAATTATGTATGAAAGAAACACACTTCATGGATTGAAGTGGACATTTTTATTGAATATATTCATAACTCAATCGATGATACAAAGACAGAAAGAAGTTATCCATTAACCACATTCAGCTGTTGGTAATTTTTTAGATCTTTCAAGTGATCTAAGTCTTCTTATTTCTAAAATTCATATAACAAATAGATGCGGTTCATTAAAATATCCTATTTTAATCAGCGTTTTTCTCGTTAAACTGCAGGTTTTTCGTATCAGTTATATAACTATACAAAGAAAGAAAAAAGATACTGGTTTTAAAACTTGTTTCCAAGTGTTCATAACTTATATTTTCATTGTTTAACAACATATAAATAAATTAAGAAATAATTATGTTTCATATGTCATCTACGTTTCATGTGTATGGGTATATATATATATATATATATATATTCTACTTTCGTCTGAAGAGAAACGCTGCTGCACCATTCC